GATGAGCGTTAATTATTCCAGCTGAAAGGAAAAAAGTGATCTCTATAAGGTTACACATTGGGAAAAAAGAGGTAAGACTTGAATTTAAAATTTAGAATTAATAAATATATTTGGGAATAGGAAAATTTAAGCATTTTCAACTTATAAGAAGTCCTAGAATAAATTAAAATATATCAATGTGTTAAGTACTTCATTTTTTTCTCTCAGAAAAGCCTAAGATCAATCCTTTACAAAGTTAAATTTCTTCAAATAAAAATATTCATATTATGTAAATTTCATTTAAATATTTTCTCAACCTTTTTGTTACTTTTTAGCCACAAAAAATAAAATGATCTCTGTTCAGGTCAGGAGCTTATGTTCCCGCCCCCCGCGACTCCGAAGCGCTCCCGCTTCATCAAAGCTCCCCAGCTCGCTCTCTCGCTCCCGCTCTTCTAGCGGATGCTTCGGCTCTGGCCGATCGTCGCATCGCTGAGCGGCCGCTCCCGCTCTCCTAGTTGTTTGATCTCCCACTCCAGCTTGTACATTTTAATTCCTAATTACACTCATAAAAATAATTTTCTAGATTTAAGAAAAATAGCCATAAAAAAAAATCGCCCTTAAACTAAGAAAAATTTTCTGGAATTAAGAAAAGGTTTTCATGAATTTAAGGCAAGGCACAGTAAAATAAAGAATAGCCGCCATAAATACACTTTTTTAGGGTTAATTTACATATTTTCCTCAAATATAGGGCAAAATTTTCGGATTTGCTTCTTTCATTTTCTTTCTTTAATTACGGGCGAATTTTCTTAAATTACGGGAGAATTTTCTTTGTTTTGCTGGTCAACTTTTCGTAAAACTATGGCGGATTCTTTTCGCAAATTCCACACGCGTGCACATACAATTCCCAACTGGTTCAAACGTCTCTGGCATGAGGTGACGGTGGCCGGCCAACACTTAGTAAGAGCAAGTCTCTCTTGCAACACCGAAAGTGTTAGCATTTTGGCCGCCTTTGTTAATAAACAATAATAATATTGTGTTTGTTGTAAACAACAACAAAAAATATTATTATTAATATTTATTAACAACATTTTTACAACAAATATAATATTATTTCTTATTTATTAACAATATTATTTACAACAAAAATAATATTATTGCTTATTTACAAATACAGCAGCAGCAACAACAAACAATTGCAACTTACCTTAAATTTTTCTACATTCAAGAAAAATCGTTCTAAATGTAAGAAAAAATTCACCTTCAATTTGAGTAAAATTTGTCCCATTTTTAGGACAAATCTCCTTATAAACAAGAAAATGTTTCTTCATTTAAGAAAAATCGCCCTAGATTTAGGAAAGATTCTTTCCTCAATTTTAGGGCAAATTTTCTCAAATCTAGAGCGACTCGCCTTTGGAACCGTTTCTATGGCGAATTTCTAAAAACACGGGCGAAAAGCGGCTTTTCTAGGGCGATTTTAGGCAAAAATTTTTATGAGTGTAGAACTCGAATAAAGCGGATCATACGATTTTATATATTCTGAAAATAACCACGCCCCCCCGGCCTACTACTATTTCTCTTTGCGTTTGGTGGTGATTTTTTTCTCTTGCGCGATTTCGATATTTCTACTCCGGTGTTCTTTTCACTGACTGCGGCGCGGGAAGTGATTGTTTTGTGCCTATCTGGAAACTGAAGGAAGTTTTCCCCCCTCGAGCCGAACAATCTCGATACACATAAGTATCTCGCCTGCCTTTTTGGCAAGAAGAAATGAAAACTTTCACGAGTCGGTTTTACTTTCGTCTTCGTCAGCTGCTGCTTCTGCTCGCATTCTAATCCCCAACAGCAGTGGCGGCGGCTCATTAAGTTGTTCACCCGGCTTCTTGGCCAAGATCGTTGGCCCCATTATGCACAGGTCCACGACTATACTCTATACTGACTGTGAGTGACTCCCCGTCGGCTGTGGAGGGGCTAGAAAATGCAGCGTTATGCTCTCCTAAGCAATCTGTCGGCTGCCATCTGGAGAGTGTGCGTTCCAGAAGGGAAACGGAAGCCGAATCTCCGAGATTTATGTGTGCCACATGCTAATCAACGTCAAAACGCGAGGCGGCAGTGGGTGAAACTGGAAATCTGAGCACCCGCCGCCGCCGCCAATGGTTGCGGTGGTGCAGTGGTGCGGCGGCCCATTCAAATGGGTGAAGGTGAAGGCAAAAGGCTTGGACTTGGTTGCGGATTCTTAAAGATCAAAGATGCACAAAGAAAAATGGTTATTTATTTTATATAACTAACTATTTTAAGCGTAGATAATTATACAAATAAAATAAGAGTTCAGTTTGGTTTGGAGTTGAGAAAGTTATCTTTTTTATGTTGTCATCTCAAGCCCTATTTGCATTATAATAGTTTGTATTCTTAACAAATCTGTTCCGCTTTTAACACTATAAAATCCCAATAAAATATCAAAAGAATATATTTTACTAAAAAATCTTTTTAGTTTATGTTTTTGTATGTAAGTTTGTATATTTCTCTTATTTTTTTAAGTTAAGCTTAACTTTTAATGATTATTCTGAGTGTGGTCTGTCTTGCAGATGAGAAAGTTTATTTATTTAGTATTTTGTTTTCTATTTCTTTACTTTTTTTTTTGTTTTTAGCAAACGCGATCTTAACGCTCACTTGGTTTTTGTGTTCTAATAATACTTCGTTGCCCGGCAAGCGGGGCAAACAAAAGGCCAGACAAACCTTTTGTATCTGATGACGACGACGACGATGATGATGAAAATCCCAACCTAATGGCTTTTCTATGCAAAATCCAGCTAGCCCCAAGTCCAGGCAGGCACTTCAATCAGAAAGTTTCCAGAACGCCTTTCGCTGTGCCTCCAAAGTGGGCACGTCCCAGCCGAATGGAGTCTCGGTTTTGGTTTTGGTTTCAGTATTGCAACTGGGTACCTGGGAGTTCCCATGTTGGGCAACCGGCAGCGGTAACAAGACGATACCCCCCTTGTCCCAGCTGCAGTTTTATGCCTCCAGTCGGTTTATTCTGTTTCATGTTTTATTTTTTATCTGCCGGCTTCCGTTTGAGAGGCAGAACTTGGGCCCTAAAACACTGTGTGTGCTGTGTGCCACTTTCATGCAAATCGCTGTCTGACGACGAGCCGACGTCTTAACATAATTTCGTAATTTTTGAAAATAGTGGCGACACATTCAGCATTCGCTTGTAACCCTCATGGAATCGTTAAGAACCCATTTCCGAAATATTTGTAGTCGTCTGCCAAAGAGCTCTGATGATGATGATGATGATGATGATGATGATGACTACATTTTCGCAAAGCTTCTGCGCCGGAAGTGAGAACTTGTAGGAGGCGGAAATCTATTTTTGGCAATTGACAAATTGGCAGACTTTACTTTCCTAAAAAGTTAACGGATATTATAGTCTGACTTATGTTTACCCTGCAGTACCATTCATCAACATTTCATCAACGTTTCATCAATAGCCGAAGCGTTTTGTTGATGATTAAGCGATGAATTGCCATACAAATTACTGATGAATTTAACATGGGCATGTCATAGGCTGTCATCAACAGCAATTCATCAACATTTAAGCATCATTTCATCGATGAATTATTGATGAAATACTGATGAAAGGCTGATGAAATGTTGATGAAATACTGATGAATTACTGATGAAATACTGATGAAATGTTGATGAAATACTGATGAAATGTTGATGAAATACTGATGAAATGTTGATGAAATACTGATGAAATGTTGATGAAATACTGATGAAATGTTGATGAAATACTGATGAAATGTTGATGAAATACTGATGAATCATCAACATTTCATCAGTATTTCATCAACATTTCATCAGTATTTCATCAACATTTCATCAGTATTTCATCAACATTTCATCAGTATATCATCAACATTTCATCAGTATTTCATCAACATTTCATCAGTATTTCATCAACATTTCATCAGTATTTCATCAACATTTCATCAGTATTTCATCAACATTTCATCAATATTTGATCGATGAAATTATGATGATTCTTCGATGAATTATTGATGATTTTTTTTTTTCATATATAATATTAAATTCTTGAGATTTTATTAATATTATTTATTCTTACTAATTCTAAACCAACACTAAGACACAAATATAAACAATTAACATTAAATCCATATATTGAAAGGCCTCAGGGTCTGTTTGCTACTCGGTTTTCCACTTTTTATTGACGTAGACCAAATTTTTTGCGCAGTAACTTCTCTGGAGGCTCAGTTCTATCCACTTGGGCAATTGCATCTACAAAAAAATAATAATTAATCAAGGGAATAATAATAATACAATTAAATAGAATTTACCCAAAAGATCCTCGTTTCAATATGTTGGCCATTACTGCGATCAGAAAAGAAAAAAATAATATAATATATAATATATAATAATTAAAATAATACACATAGGCTTTTATTTAATTAAAAACACTTCACTTTACTCACCTTTTTATATATTCCAATAAGGCCCGGAACGAATTTATTTAATAATATATTTATTAATTAATGAAACACACGACACTTCTGCAGTGCAGAGCACTTCAACTTCGAATGCAAAGGGAATAAGAAGAAGCAAGACAAAACCGAAAACCGTTGCTCCGAAAATATGGAGTCGAACCTTCGAGAATCTATTTTAATTGCGTCTTCTACTTTGTTTCGGACTTCAAAAAACGAAGCCCATGCAAATTGTTTTTTTTTTTTTTTGCATGCACCGACAAATCAGACTCGAAGGGAGTTCGGGTCTCCGAAGGGAGTTCGGGTTCAAGTAGCAGTCGGCAGAGCGTCGATTCTGTCGGCGTCGCAGTCGGCGCGTTGATGATTTGTTGATGAAAAAGCCTACTGATGAAATGTGGTACTGCAGGGTAGTTAGTCACCAGAATAGTTCTTTTACCTTAACTCCTCCCTTAAAATACTCCAATAAAAATAAAATGCCATCGTTTAAGTATCTAAAGTAAAAAATATATATTTCTTTTCTGGGCATAAATAATTTATACAAAATTCGTACATCTAAGAGTCTACGGGCTAATCTCGCTCTATGAGAAGGGGTTCTGTCCGCATGTGCTTACTCGTGATTGCACAGTTAAAGCTCGGCCAGAGCCCAAGTCGAGTTCACAATTATGTAAATTCGGGGATGCTGATCCCGCTGGTACCGTTGGAGTTGCCTGGCTAAGATGGGGGAGTAGCTATGCTCAGTCATCTTCAGCTAAATGGTGATGTCCCATCTCTCTCTCTCTGTGGCATTCAGCAAGACAAGTGGGCATAGCAGGAAGTCAAAGGAGTGGGTTGAATGGGTGGGGTATGGAGTGGGAAAGCACCTACAAGGTGCACTGATACTGCTGCTGCTGCTGCAGAGCACGCGGCAGCGTCTTGTGCGGCAGGTGGGCGACCATCGGGGGAGAGCGGCAGCGACGGGAGGAGGAACGGATCCGCTGGCGCTGCAGCAGTACGATGCAAATGCTGATGATTATCACAGATAGCGAGACGGTAACCAGCACGCTGCTCAGATGGGAGCTAATATAACGCAAAACAGCTACACGAAACGAAAAAAAAAATCAGGAAAAAATATTAGACAAAAAGAAAAGGCAGTTTTTAATACAAAAATATATTTAAAAGTATCTTAAGAATCGATAAAAAATGTTCAAAAGAATAGAAAGTATTTAGAAAATTTAATTACAATTTTTCAAAGTAAATTATAAAATATTTAATGAACTTTAGAATATGGGATTGATTTTTCAGTGTAAATAGTGGTCACCAAAGAATCACGACTGCCGCTGACAGGCCACTTACCTTTATCCTCATCGTTCCCACTGGGTGGCGAACCCACCTCCAGCGGCATCCAGGAGCTGTGTGCCTGGTCCACAACCAGTTTGGCGTACTTAGTGCCCACCACAGGCTCCAGGTGACGTCCTACCGCCGGCTCTTCTGCCAAGTTGTTCACCTCGTTGAAGTCCAGAGACCTGCCCTGTCCTCCTCTCAGAGGAGCTGCCTGCTCCGTGGAGGGAGATGGCGGCTGGGTTTCCTCCACCACTGTGGCCTGCTCTCCGGACTCGGACTCTGGATCGTTTTGAGACTCGGATTCTGGCTCCTTTAGCACCAGTTCGGTTTTGTTCACATAGCGCATCTGGCGAAGCTCCCTGCCCAGTCGCTGGTCCTCGTCCGGCTCGAAGGGATCGTTGGGTTCATAGGCGGCGGCCACTCCATTCTTACCGGGCACAGTGAAGCTTGCGCGGACCGTCTGCATGCCGGACTGATAGCTGCAGACCACCACGAAGCTAGGAGGGTATTGAGGTGAGAAATATTTTAAGTAATTAATTTCTTCCTAAATGAAATTCTTTTTAAGGCTTTTATATATAAAATTATTATCTCTTTTTAGTTATTATTAAATATATATCATTAAGTACTTACCGTCTTGTACTATGGGTAAAGATGCCCAGGTTTTCCTGCACTGTAATGAAGGTCTCCACCGTGTTGGTCTCCGGCTTTACCAAGCTGCCGCACTCCTTGTGGTCTATCCTCATGGTGTATTTGTCTGCGGCATCACTGGCATCACCCTTGACTCCACAATTGCCACCATCCACGACGATACGACCGCCGAAATATGGACCAGTTTCCACCTCGATTTCTGAGGCATGTGGCAGGCATTGGGTGGCATGGGCGGAGACTGGAAAAAAACATTTTTGAAATGGGATTTAATAAAGAAATAAATATAATATTAATCTACTAAATATTGTTAACTTAAATTAAGAAAAGAATCTAATTGTTAGCTTTTAAATTTAAATTTATTCGAATTTTAACAGACAATACTTGACAAATTTTCCTTGCTTGAAGAAGACGTTCTGCATACAAATGAATCGCTCTCATTTCTAATTTAATTTGGAATTAATACGCTTTCACTTTTTAAATAAAGTTTAATTTAAAATGAAAAGTAAAAGAATAAAACGTTTTAGATACAGTTATGGTACATTTCTGGAAATGTTCATTTTAATGAACTGCCTTTCCGGTCAAAAAGAAAACAGGAAGTTGTGGAGAAGATGGTTAGCATTATAAATTATTTTTTATAAATGTTTATACTCACAGCCCTTGGTGGGAATGATGATGCTCTGGCCAGGCAGGTGACCAGATCCACTTTCAATTTCATTCTCATCATGAAACTCGGCTCGGGCGTTAGAGCTGCGAGTACCGCTCGCCTGGAGGCGTCTCTGGGCGGCTGGGCGGATGTGGAAACTGTATCTGGTGGCCATGCGTAAGTTGTCGACTGCAGCGGCAAAGTGCTGGATTTGGGGACTAAATTTTTGGTTAAAGAATGAAAAGTTTATTTAGTTAATTAAAATTTTTTTTTTTTTTAACATTTAAATAAAATTCACATTTTCTTAGAAAGCGTAGAGGTAAATCTCTTGACAATAGCTTGCCTTATATGGCAATACCACTTACCCTAAGGGATCATGCTCCTCCTTTGGCTCTTGTTCCTGCTCCTGCTGTTCCTTATCCTCCAGGGATACCTCGGCGGCAGTGCCGTTGACCAATTTGACACGACACCGCTGTGGGCCATAGTTCTGCATCTCGCAGTAGAAGATCTGGAATGCCAATGCCCGGGGCGGTTCCACATCGCCGCTCATATTTGTCGTTGAGCTTAAGCTGGAGTTGGTGCCGGAGCTGGAGCTGGAGCTGCTGCTGCCGCTCGAATCTGTGTCATGGGCCGACGGCACGAATTCAACTTCCCAGGTCAGATTCACCGATTTGTAATTTGGTTCACCGGCGACGCCGCGTATCTCTATCGAAGGTTACAAAAGCATGAGCATGGGCACAAACGGGAAAACGGGGTTACAGCCAAGATTCGTGGCAATGGCAGTGGCACTGGGAGTTGCAGTTGAAGCTAAAGAGTTGGAGTCTAAGGCACTGCTTGCATGCAAATCAGCTACCATGGTTACTTAGTTACCAGCAGTTCAGTTCAGTGCAGTGCAGTGAGTTTGGGGGCAAAGAACTCGTTTCCCGCCGGAGTCAGACACGCTTTTGGATTAGTTCTGTTTCATTTGGTCGTTTTTGTGGCCACCTCTAAGTGGTTGTTCCCACTGTCAGCTAAGATCTGCACTTGGAGAAATGCAGGGGCAAAAGAAATAACTTAAGGAAATGCAAACAGGAAGTTTACTCTCAACGATATCAGACGCTTCGTTCACTTGGAATATCAAGGAAGTGTTCTTTTGACTTTATTATAAGGCGATGTTCAACCTTTCCTAAATTAAAACTCATCGAAGAAATAAATATTTAATATTAATATCATAATATAATATATATAAAGAAACTTCTACAACCTTTTCTCTTCATACACAATCGACTAAAGTGTGCTGGCAGTTGGAGCAGAAGTCGTTCGCCACTTTTTCAACTGCGAGTGATGGAGGATCTGACTCAAAGTGTGACGTGAATTAGCCAAGGGGAGCTGGCAGTTAAGGCGGAATAAAAACTAGACCTGGCGATGATGCTGGGCGGGTAATGGGATAGGTAATGGGGTTGGAGGCAACTCAAGTAGACGTGGCTAAGACTGAAGTGAACAAGAGCTTTTAGATGAAGGAGCAAGAATGTTGCATAAAATGGCAGCATGAAGGCTCTTGTGTCTGATTTATTTCGGTCATTGGTGCAAAATCTCCAAGAAACTCGTGAGAAACTGCTGCACTCCAGTTAACCATTAAGTACTTTGCTCAAGAACTGTAATATATTGAATTATGTTAAGCACCTGGCATTAAATTAATTTAGATTTCGATTTTAGATTTTAGCCTTTTTCGCAGCAAACAATCAATCCCTGGGCAATTACCCATTAATCTCCGCATCGAAAGATCGTTAATTTACAATTTTCCTTAGCCACTTAGCCCCGATTTCCAGGCGATTTCCCAAGCCAGCTTTGGTGACTTCTTCTGAGCCAAAAGAACCTTGCATAATCCGCAATTAGAAATGCCATTTGCCGATGCCTGGCATCGCTCGCTCTCGTCGGTGGTGGTTTATGCGGCCAATGTTGCCCATGTTGCACATGTTGCCATTGCTGATGTTGCAGCTTCGTGTTGCCGGCTGCTTTTCCCATGTTGAAATCATTGACACCGATTTTGTGTGTGCATGGCGGCGGCAGTCAGCCACATTTTTAGGCGAATTTCACACAGAGAACATGGAAAAGTGAAAATTCTGCCATGGCATAAATTCTGACATCGGGGCTACGTGGAAATGCCATTGCATTTGAGCCAAAAAAAAAAAACTGATTAGAAAATGCCACAAATGATGACAGGTCTCCCTCCACAGACTCCGCTGCAGCTCAGTTGCAGCATCGCTTCGATTAATGGATTATTCTGTGGTCTTGGGAAGTCCATCGATGATGAGGCACTAAAATTTGGATATGCCATATCACTGCAGGTTATGTAAGACGGGAAGGAAGTGGAGGAGAGCTCACACCAGGCCTGGGATCCATTAATTTCCAATGTCTGCCTCCCCAGAATCGCTGACTCTTTAATTGCAAACCGCCCCGGGAAGTGCCATAATATCTGTTCAATCCGACAAATTGCCTCCAATCTGGCCAGATCCCGATCTTGATCTGTCACCGCCCGTGATGTAATTGCTGTGCTTTAACTAATTCGATTAAAGCCCGAGAGAAAGAGAGTTTTTGTGCTGTGTGTGTGTGCCTAACAATTACTGGCATTTTGCCGCGCTCTAATGACACTTTTGCTCTCCATCAAAGATCTCCGGGCAATTTCCGCTCTGCGGTTCTAATGGGCGTGGCAGCGCCCTCTTTTAGCAGCCTGAAGGAAATGTCGGCACATTTCCCAGTTGATTGGAGGAAAAAAACACATAAAAAAGTCACCCGCCGGACAAGTTCGCTGCCTGAGTCTTTTGTTTTTGCAGCGCAAACAATTTTCGCTACCAAGGGCAGACATAGGGAAAATAACTCAAGGAACATAACTAGGTTCAGGGGAAAAAAGCGATCCGATCGTGACCAAATGCAATTAGCCAGGCTGCAAACAGGGAAGGCAGCACTGAAAAAATACTATTTTGCAAATAACTTTAATACAACTCGAAGCCTTTTCTTTTGATTTTCTATTTTAAATGTTCTTGCAATTTTTATAAGAAAGTTTTCTCGTTTTTAATAAATTTATACATTTTCTTTTCGTGCAGACAATATGCTTGCCTTTGGTTACTGCAACTCCAACTGGCCCTGCAACTTGAATGCTTGGTTGTACCTCCTCGACTCTTAGGACTCACCGTATTTGCTGCCAGCCTTGGCATTGGCATTGGCAATGGCATTGTTAGTGCCAGCAGCAGATGTGGTTGTTGCTGCCGTCGTTTCTGTTGCGGTTGTCGATGTCGCCGCATTGTTGATGTTGTTGCTGTTCTTGGGGATCGCCAGCAATGCTGCCGGCAGCAATAGCAACAGGCACAGCAGCAGCAGCAGCATGTTGCAGCTGCCGTGGCCCGCCATTGATTTCGTTGACATTATTTTCGGTTGATTTATTTAAGTTTGCTATTTGTTCTCATCAAATGTGTGTCAGTCGGGAGCTATTGGGCGAATTGAACGTGAGGGAAAATGCAAGTGTTGCTGTTGGTACAAAAGCACGGGGTTATCTTTTTTTAGATTGATCGATAGGAATGGATATACTATGAAGGGTGATTTAGTCCTTTGCCAAGTCAATTTATTATTTATTTAGTTATTAAAAATTCTTATTAACATTTTTTTAGTTAAAAATACTATTAAATGGGCAATGAGATAAATTTAAAATAATTTATAATTTTACAAAATTTAAAAATATAATATTTATTTAAACAAATTAGCTTTTTTTTTGATAATTATATACAAAATGTTGCTCAATATATTAAAAGAAAATATCCTGCATTAACAAAACTACACAGGAAATGTTTTTTATAAAAAATAAAATTTATTTAAACATTTATAACAATGTTTTGGATTTTCTTTTTAAAATATTTCTATTTTCATATTAATTATAAGAAGTATATTAAATGTATTATCTAATTATAAATATATTTTGTTATATTGTTATTATGCGTTATATATTTTTTGATATCATAAAAATTTGTGTTTTTAATTGTTTTTATGTGTTTTTTATTTTTTAGAATTTCTTGTAATCAATTCTAACCAGTATTTACGGTTTTTTTGCTCTCAAAGAGCACTTTTTGGTCTTGCTAAATTTCACTATTGTCCACAAAAATAAATCCCATTGGTCACAGCACACAAAATTGGTTAACTGCCGCTAGAATTCGATTTGATTTAAAATATTTTTCGAGTTTTTCCGACGCCGAACCGCTTGGCTTTGCCTGTGCCGCACAACTGAGGCTTCTGCCTGGTTGGGGCTTGTGATTTCGAGCCAACATCTGGCCAAGTCGGATCAGCTGTGGCCAACAGCGAACCCGAACCCGACTGTAAGCCCGAACCAATGCCAAGGCCGAGCAAAGGAAAAGCTTTCCCCGGCGAGCTTTTCTCTCTCTCTCTCCCTCTGTCTCTTTTGTGTTGTGTGGAAATGGGAAAATGCTTTCGGCCTTATCAGAGTCCGGTTATCAGTTGACAAACAGCTCGAAGTTGCAGCCGTGTGTTTTATTTTCGTTTCCAAAGGCTAAATTAAAAATCCATATCGGTCCAAGCTTTTTCCATAATTAAGGCGTGCTTGGCCAGCTTTAACTTCCATAAATTTTGCATTGTTGATTCGATCGGATCACTTTCCCTTTTCTCCGGCTGCTTATTGCCCATTGTCTTGTGCTTTTTTTTTTCTAGCCAAGTTTTCTGTTTTCTTGTTGTTTATGCTGTGTTGTTGCTCTTTGCAGCTGGCTTTGATTAATGCTTAATCAGCAATATTATTGTTATTAGGTTTCTATAGCGGGCCGGCATTTTCATAAATAATTTGCTCGCCGCTTTTGTCGAACTCAGTCAATTATAAAACCGAACAAAAAGTTTCTCTGCGACAAAAGACGACGAAAAAAATAAATGCTGTGGAGTACGCAATGAGTGGCATAATGAGTGTCTATAATTAATTGTTAGCACTCGTTGCATAATCGGGCCCTTTGTTAGCCAGGATGATATAAAATCGAAGCGGAGAGGTATGGCTATTTATAGGATTTTTAATTGATGGTTTATTTTATTTTAATTAAAAAATTTCAACTATTAGATGAAACAGAAATAAATATTCCTCTTATGTTTAATTTGAAATATTATTAATACATAAAAAATATATTTTAAATAATGAAAAAATAATTATAAAATTTTAAGTAAAAAATAAATAAATATTCTAATTTCTATTATAATATTTAATGACTTTTTTATTCTCCTTTTTCTTTTTTATACAATTTTTAAAGCCCTTATTTATAAAGAGTTTTTCATTAATTTACAAATTTCAAAATATTTTCTTGTAATAGCAAATAATTAGCCCTAAAGTTAGCACTTTTTAAAAATAAAATAATTGTTATAAAATATTTAATTTCAAAATAAGAATTCCATAAAGACACAAACTTTTGTTATACAGCTTTAAAGCTTAAAAACTAAATTTTCTTATTTTTATTAAGATCATAAAAACGAAGGTCGTCATAACGGGGTCATATAAAAATATTTAAAAAAATACCCTAAGAAATATATTTTATTTTACATTACAAAAATTACATCGGCCCTTCCAAGCAATTAACATCTTTATTGAGGTAATTTGCTTCCGTTCAGCTCGCCTGCTTATCGCAGGCTTTGGCTCCTTGATTAACTTAAGCATTTTATATCGCCTAATTTCCATCGCTTTCGCTCCGAAAAAATATGAAAGTTATTAATCCAGGGACACGCATGGTAATTTCCGGTTATATATTAAGCTCCCGGTCCCTGGCCACCCATTTATATGATAATTAGACAGGTTAATAAATGTGATGTGACATAAAGGCAACGCAGGCTACTGGTTATTTTTAGGACATCAAGGCCAGGCTAGAACCCGAAACATTGTCCTGCCCGGCCTGCCACCTGTAACGTCATGTTCCCCCAGCGACAGGAAACTAGAAACATTTCTGCGCCGCCGAAAGTACACTTACCGGACATCAATAATGGAATGAAACCGACTCGGATCCATCAAGGGTCCCCCGACATCCGTGAGCAACACATTCCCCTAATTTCGCTAATTAAAAATTTAATGAGCCTTTCAAACTAAAAATACCGCCGACACGAAAGCCCAGGAGCTCGGAACAATTGGAACACCTGTTGGCCGAGTAAAACTCTTTGACGTGTTTCCCATGGGCCTAAGGGGTCTCGCAGGAGCCTTACCCAAAAAAAGAAATAGGGGGATTACAGGGGCACAAATTGAAATGTGTTTCCCATCGAATCAGTTAGGCTTTCAACCCCCAAGGGGCAAAAAAATGGGAAACTTTGGGCCCTGCCAGCAGCTGCTAACCGGGGTAAATCGAAAAGCGTTTTCCTCATTCTTATATTTTTTCGGTGTGCGCCTGAAAGTAGGCAACGAACGCCATTCCCGAGCGGCGCATAATTGAGTGGCGGCCATCATTGTCGTCGCCACAGCCAACTGATTTGCATACCGCCTAGTTCCTAGTCCAAGCTCTCCGCCAGGGTCTCGGTTTCACTCTGGCGTTGCCTTGGTCCCGGACTCATGTCATTAGCAGCCCTCCAGCGCAGCCAGCAGGACGAGGGGCGTTGCAGGGCGGTGAAAATTTACATGCCAACGCGTGACACACGCGGCGTATGCGCAACGTTCCTGGACGGTGGCGAACAGAGATGTTCTTTTGGGAGTTTTTTAGCTGAAATTTTTTGTTTAAACTTGGATTACTTTTAAGGTTTAAGAATTAATTTGTTTTGGAATATTTGCTATATTTGTTAGATTTTTAAAACACTTATTTTATTTTGTTTGGTTATTTTATAAAAAATTATACAACGATTCTTCAAGGAATTTCATAATATATGTATTTTTTTACGTTTTTTAAAACCCTTTAAAAAATTACCAACAAATTTGGCTTCTTCTGCTAATTCTTCTTCATTTCTTACTTCAATTTCAACAATGACCTGATGCAACTAAATAATTATTTTAATACTGTACTTAAACTTAGTTTAAGTTAATTTACGGTGGTTAGCACTGGTGTCGCCCTGTCGACCGCCTCGTTTTCGGCTGCGTTTGTTTGACTTCCCTTTCCTCATCCTAGCCGTTCCTCGCCAGGATTACATGTCTAGGGCACATCAAACAAGCTTACTTACCAATGACCTCGTTAATGACGCACATACACAATCGCACACTCAAACATTTACGCACACAGACTCAGAAACAAACACGAAAGCGAAAAGGCAACTTTGTGTGCGTTTCGCCATGCTGTTGAGTTTACTTTGTAATTTTCGCTTATCAGATTTATTTTTATTTTCATTTTTGATTTTTTTGTCAGCTGCCACACAATACAAGTAGACTGTTGGGAAATTAACTAGACTAATGGATGCCCTGTAATAAAAAGATCAAAACAAAAGTAAGATCTATAAATATATTCTAGAATTTTAAAACCAATTTCTTTTTTATTATATATTTCTTAGATGTTTCTTAAAAGCTAATTAATTTTTTTATTATTTCCAAAAATCAAGAATATTCTTACACTCCTTTTGCTACCTTACCCCTCCTAAGATCAACCTTGGGTGGAAGGGTATCGAAGGCATTACAACATCATCGACTCCTGCTGACGTCGTCGAATTCCCTTCTCTGGATCTGCGGGCACTGTTAAAGTAATTGCCTGGCCACTGTCGCAACCGCAATAAAAAAAAGCGCCTGATTGCCGCCGGCTTCCTTCTGTGCTCACTCGTCGTACCATTCATATCATTCGAATCATCAGCCTTCCTCCTTTAATGAACACCCTGCTAATAACTCTGACAATATGTTGGCTCATCCGCTTTGATGGTAATTACCGTTGACATCACTGCAGCGACAACTCCCGACTTTCCCTTTGTGAAACAAAAGCACAAGTGTATATGGCATTCTGATACTGTATTTATGTCATCGTCATATAACAATTAACACATGCTCTATGTTATTACAGTATACTAAGTTAAGTTAACTATTAATTAATTGGTCGAGCGCTGGCCACGTTCCTTTTGCTTGGTTTATGGCTTCGGGAAACTCATTTGCCTCCGGTTGAGGGTGTTCTCTCTCTCTCTGCCCAAAAGTATGCTAGTCAGCGTGTACATTAAATTTAAATAATACTTGTGTGTGTGTGTGTGGGTGTGGTTGTGGCATAGAGGTTACTACACATACATAACGAGGAGTATTTGTAAAAAAAAAAAAAAAAAGTTACAAAACTTGTTTGTGTTTGTGTTTTGTGGAATCAACGCAAATCAGATTTACATATCAAAGGAATTGTTTTTGTTACACAACTTAACAGTGAACTACGTGCTAAAGGTGGTCACTAGACTGGTGCCTTAAAGCTGTGATTATGTATGTAGTTTCATAGAAATGTCCCCTTGAGTATTATCGATTTTGATGCAAAAAACACTCCCAAATCACTGCATTATCCATTTTACTTTACTACGAATATGGACAACAGAAAATGTATAGTTTTGGTTAACCATTATCTTCATTCTCCAATGCCCTTATTTACGTTAAAATACAGTTGTTGCTTATTTAAGTGGATTACAGTGTGCAGCTCTTACATATCTCTAATCTAAAACAAAAGAAAATATAGCAAAATAATACCATAATTAAGATATTCCCAATCGAATTTAATAATTCAATTTGTAACCAAATTATTGAAACATTTTTATGAATGCTCTCGCAGAAGCCTTTCGTTTTCAAGTCGATTTAATTTCGCTTTCAGATGGAATGATAATTCAATTGTTCAACCAATAAACTAAAAATTAAATATTTAAAACCTGGAATTCTCTCACTGAACTCTCTGTTTTTCTAATCGTGTTTTTTTGCCAACCAATAAAGCGGATCAATTTATAACCAAAATGTGTGTTGGCTTTGTACATTTCACGTTAATTTTAGCACCAGCCTAATGAATTTGATTTGCTACATTTCCGTTTCGGTGTGTGGGAGGAATTTCTTTTTGTTCGCCGAGGCCTGCCGTTGGCCTCGCTGTTGTTTAAGGTGTAAACTGGAATTTGCTTGCTATCAACTAAAACATTGACTATATTTTAAAATGTAATTGCACCTACGGCAGCTTCTCCTAGCTGTGCTCCTTGCACAGCCGCAGGAGCAGCGGATAGTGCAGGTCCTCGTCGTAAAGGGCGGAGTCCGCCTTCAGCTGGAGATGCCGCTGCCAGATGGTCTCGTTGTACCTCGTGGCCAGCTCCACGCGGAAGCCCCTGGCCACGCACTCGTCCTGGAACACGCTCAGAGTGCGTCCGCGGCGCGGGGCCATGATGAGAGCCGAACCCTGAGGCGCCAGGTAATACCAGATGGTGTCCACCAGCGCCGAGCGGGCCTCGTCGAAGAACAGGCAGTCGGCGCAGAGAATGAAGTCGAACTTGGCCTGCTCCGCCTGCGACCGGGCGCCCTTCTCCTGCCACTTGAGCACCGAGCACTTGGTGTAGCAGCTCAGCTCGTTGAGGCAGACCGTCTTCCTGACATTCTCCACGGAGATCTCGTTGCCGTCGGTCAGGTGCACGGCATAGGGAGTGGCGTACTTGGCCAGCATCAGGCCCGCCAGCGAGGTGAAGCCGCCGCCCAGCTCCAGAATCCACTTGCCGCGGTACGACGACACCTCGGACAGGACCAGAGCGGTCAGGGCCTCCTCCGAGGGCCACACACAAATGTTGCCCGTGTTGTTGAAGCCCATCAGATCGCTGGCCGTCAGCTGGCGCTCCATGTGGTGGATGTTCACCGAGTACTCCAGGTCGTTCTCCAGCGCCATGCGGTACTTGTACCAGTTCTCCGTCTTGCCCAAGCACTTGAGGCTCACGTGATCCTCGAAGCTGTCCTGGCGCAGCAGGTCGAAGCTCTTGAAGCGGCGCACGGAGGCGGTCTGCTCCTCGGCAAACTCGTCGCTGGACGACGACACTGTCTCCTCGGAGTCCTTGCGCAGCACCTTGGCCAGGATCTTCCAGCGTTTCTGGGCGGTACTCTGGAGGTTGGGCGTGGCCGGCGGAGTGGGCGGCATAAAGGGATTCGATGCCACTTTGCCGTCCAGCGCCATCTGTTCCATATCCTCCAGCTCGTTGCTGGGACTGCCGGGCATGTTCCGGTTTATGTCTTTGTCCTTGTTGACGGCGGCGGCGTCCTGGTTATTGTTAAGAACTATGGGCATTTCGGGCATGCCCAGGCGAGCGTCGAGGGTCATCTTCTGGTGCTCCTTGAGAGCATTCAGCGTGTTGTCGATATCGTATTGCAGCAGCAGCGATATGGTTGCCAACTGTGCCACGCCCACTTCCGTTGATTGCTCCTCCAAATTGTTGATTTGAGTTTCGGGCGACGCTTTCTGCACTAATGCTGCTGACATCTTACTTCAGGTCGACTTTGTTTTGGGTGTCCCGTTCTCTGTTTCGAGTTCTCCGCTTTCAGTTTTCCATTTTCCGCCCTGTACAACGAGAAAGAGGGAGAGAAAGGGGAGACACGAATTTAGTCAGAGTTTCTCTTCAAGTTTTTCCCCTTCGAATGCCGAATTTTCCACAGGGCCTATTTCAGGCCCATTATTTTCCAATTATGAATTTTTAATGGCATTAAAAATGCAAATTATCCGACCATAAAAATAAAGCAAATTATACGGAGCAGAAAAATCCAACGGAATATCAGGAAAAATCTTTGTCGACAAGAAGTCTATGAATATACGTAGGCAGACATTTTAGGTATACATTTTATGAGCAACACATTTTGCAGATGGAAAATTGATCGACTTTCGAGCATGGTGTAAATATTTTAAAATTAGCTATATATTTTATAATAAATTTTAATTATTATCTGCAATTAATTTGGTGTAGTTTTGATTTCTAAAATTATTTATACTTGTTATACTTGTTATATATTTATGATTTTAATAATAGGAACCTATCACTACTAATATTTTATAATTTATAGATAGATAACTACAAAGTATAGGTATAAATTAACGACTTTAATTATAAATTATTATCCGGTAACATAAATCGCTATACTAAACTTGTACACATCTCCATAAATTTTACCATAAATTTTGCCATTAAATCCATCGCCTGCAGTCCCAAAATTATCCAAGCTCAGCGAAAATAGAAACTGTTTGCACGAGAGTATATTTACGTACGAGTATGTGCTACCTTGGCCTTTATTGTTTTGATTGTTGCACATTCTCTCACTCTGTATATTTTGAATTCTGCTGCTGGACGTATAAATTCATCAAATTTGAGAAATTTTACAGCTCATAAAAAATGTTAATTGTGCTGACGCGAAGGCACAGACGGCAGATGGGAGTTTTTCCAGCGCATTTCCCATTTCCCCACTCAGCATATGGTGAAAACACGGGTCTGTCGATGATAACAGAGGGCGTTCGGTTCCGATTAAAGGTTTATTTTTCTCTCTTTTTGTGCCCGGACACCTGGGAATGTGGCTGTGGGTGGTGTTGCTTTCGCCTGACCATTGACACCTGCTCCGGATATTCTGGACCTCGAGTGCGTAATCACTGTCTGAGCAATTGAAATTCAACGGAATTTATGTGAGATTTGTTGTGGGGGCCATGAATTTGCATAAATAATGTTGTTTTGTGGGGTGAAAGACCGTAAACAAACGGAGTTTGCGGGAAATATCCGCCTAATTCTGACAGATTTCTGATGTATTGCCCAGCAATTCTGGGTACATGTGTCTGTATATCCAATTAAAATTGACAATAATTGCCATATAATCATGAATGCAATTATTCTGTTTGTTTTGCTATTATATTAATCCTGTTCTGACCGCAAAATGCGTTCTCAATTGCTTATCGAAGCATTGACAGTTTGACAACGCAGCTTGCGGCGTGCAAAAGGCCAATAATTTGGCCTAAATATTTCCATTTAAACTTGCCCAAATAAAATATAAATTAAATAAATTATTCAACATAAAGAGGAAGTAGCTCAAGTAGTAATTAAAAAATATATTAAATTTGACTATAGGAGAGCTGAGTTGCAATTTAATTTGTAGTTATTTTAAAAATGAATTATTTAACATTTAGAGCCAAAACCTTCAATGTTCAAACTCGTCTTTACTTTATAATTCAAATTACATTTCAAATAACATTTCAAATTACAATTGAAATCACCAATTCCCTGCTTTCTCTCACTCAGTGCTCCCCATCAATGCTTTATCAAACATTAACAAGTTTGAAGAAGTTCGCCAGACCTCGAACTACTTTTTAAGGACTCCCCGCCAGAATCCTGATTGCTGGCCCAATAAAACTTTTGGTGAGCTTAAAGAATGTTGATTTGCATTTGCCGAACGAGGAGAACATGAATATTGAGCAGCCTTCCTCCAGGAGATGTCCCTAAACCCGCAGCTTAGCCTACGTCCAAAAGTTTTACAGCGAAAACTTCCAGCGAACTTTAAAGTCTGTCAATAAAATCCGACAATGTTTGCATAATGCCCTGGAAAATACAGCTTCAACCGCTGGAAAACTTGAAGGATTACTTGGCCAATGATTAGCTTCACCTGCGGTAGAGATGGTCAGAAGGAGGTCAATATAACTATAGAAATATTTTAAATAAATTATTAATAAATGCAATGTATTTAAGGTGATGTTTCTTTGAACTTTTCTCCTTAATATACAAACATCTCCAGTTTGTCAGTTCATTTCCAAATGTAATCATGCCTTCAATCATTGTAAATTTAAAGTTTTTCACGCTGGCAAATTTATCCAATTCAATTCAATCACTTGAGAAACTTACTTTCCTCTGTTGTTGCCAGCAGGAAAAGAGAAAAAAGGTTTTTCACTTCAAAAACAAAAACGAAATCGGGGGTTGGTCGGAAAACTCAGGAGTAAGCAGAATGACTGGCGTGCGTGTTGGCAACGCAATGTGCCAGAAAGTTGCCAGGGGTTTCCCCCATTTCCACGCTTTCCGCCCCGAATTTCCACTACGGTGGCGCATCACGCAAGACTTTATAGAACCCATATATATCCCCACATCCGTGTGATGAATCCCCGTCGCTCTCCGCGCTCATTGCTGGCATTAACTCTTATAATTTATTATTTATTGCAATCTACTGTCACCGAAATTTGCTCAGCTTTTCCTCTGTTTTTTTTTTTTTTTATGTTCTTGTGCGGCTTTTTTTATGATTATTATTTCGGCAGTGACCTTGGGGCCAGAAGTGTCAACAGACACATGACTTCTGGGTGTAAATATGTACATACGCACACGATAAAGAGCCAACTGTGAAAAAGAGTTATTCCAGACGCCGCCAAGATAATACAGTCAAATTTAATTATGACTGACAGCCGCACGGGGAAGGGATCTTATCCATCAGCGATTATATATAATTCTTTATCACGATAAGAGTAGAGCAGGTGGTAGGTGGTAGGTGGAGACCAGGTGGCAAGTTTTTAAATAAATGAGATTATTTTTTGTGATGTCAAAGAATTTAATTACTAAAAGATGCTATTTTTTTTGCTGTAGAGTAAATTTAATGAAAAACGATTGCAGAAAATATATATAACAAGAATTTAAGTAATCTAATAATAAGAAATTCAACAGGATTTGTTATTAATAGACTCGTTTTTCTTAATGTTCCTTAAATAATATTAAAATTAATTGTTATATCTTTATATATAGATGTCTGGCCATTAAACATATTAGCAAAAATCACTGATGAAAAGTCAAGAGCGAGCTGCTTTTCACTCGACTTGGCTTGGCTCTCTACCATTAATCATCATCATTCGGTGCTGTACGCAGTAATTACCCTGTGCACACAGGGCGTATGCGTAATAGTCGAAAACTTTAAAGCGCTTCCTCGTTCCTCTCGCTTTGTATATTTTTCTCGAGCGTCTTAAACTTTTATTAGCGCACATAATCCCCACCGATTTACGAGCAACTAACTGTCTGAGCTATCTCTGCCGATATATGCAGATATATATATTTATCCCACCGATTTGTTTACTGTTTACTGTTTACAGGCGTAAGTTGATTTCGACTGAAACTTTTTTCATGTTCCCTCAGTTTTGACTGCAGGCCAATGCCAACGCATCTGTCTATATATGGATATGTACAGACATTCGTGAATGCTGAGATTTAATTTACGCTCACATCTGTTTTTATTGTGCATTTCTCTTCCTCCATTGAATGGCCATTCCCAAGCCTCGGGCGGGTTCAAGTAAGTGCAAAAATGTAAATAAAAATCCAATTTTCTTCCGAGTCGCCGGCCGAGGGTGTCCGAAATAAAATATTAATTAAATTATTTGCATAGCGCACGGCTTCGGCCTTCGGTCCGCCTGGGGCTCCACCACCCCTTCTGAACACCCCTCCGCCATCCGCCATCCGCCATTGCGTCCAGAAACATTTCCGGCTTTTCCGGAAGTGGCTGTGGCAATGTCACCTCCCATTTTTATTGCCTGTCACTCACTCGCCCCTCCCCGTTCCCCGGTGCCCCCTTTGCTCATAGTTCTTTTGGTTCTTTGGCTCTTTGGGGCTTGGCTAAGATAATATTTGACGCTGTGGGGTAGTGGGCGCACTCAAAGAAATTTACTTAGTACACACAATTTTATTACATTGAAATTTGAAAACGAATCCGGGGCTGTAGTTTCTCGGAAGGATCTCGTTTGGATTGGGGAAAGGTCACAGCACGTGGCAAGTTAATTATTTTGTCGAGTTTACTAAATGTGAATTATTTATGTATTATATTTTATGTTTATTTTATATTAAATTATGGCATGGCATCTGTATAGTTAATTTTCGTACATTAATAGAGTTTTAATTTTTCTCTTAGTGTACTCAGTGTGTGTCGCACCGGCGATTGGGAATTGGGAATTGAGGTGAGCGAACTGCCAGCTCATGACATTCACGAAAAGTTCAAGGGGAATTCCCCGATCTGCTGCACGGCGCTGCACAAATAATGTGATTACGCCGGACAATAATGACGAGCTAACCACATAGGATGAGTTGCCAAAATGTCAACTATGCCGTAGTGAAACTGTTTTCCAAAGAATTTTCGGATTCTAGGGGTTTATTGATTCGATTTAGGAGGTCATGGGGAATATGCGAAAATCCGAAGCTTGCTCTCTAAAATAATTGGTGTACATAAAGCATAGGTTAAGGCTTTAATCAAGTTGGGAAACTTATTAAAAGTTGAAAAGGTCATTTAGGTAAGTTTAAATACTAAAGAAATATAACTAGAAAACATTTTAAGGATTTATAATTTATATTAATGATTAAAGACAATGAAAAATTGAAGCTTCTCCCATGTTTTGTAGCCTTTAAAGAAATCCTGAAAATCCCCAAAGCCTCGGTACATTCTTGAAATATATTTAGCACATTTGCAATGATATTTTCAGCACCCAGGCTCACTCAGCATTCTGATCCTTCTTGGTTTTTGGCATCTTGCAAGTTATTCGGAAATTGTGATAACAATTTAAGCCACGTACAG